TCTCTCTCTCTCTCTCTCTCTCTCTCTCTCTCAGTCCGGTACTAACCTGTGAAGGTGGCGCCTTGTTGCAGGTACATCGAAGACGAAGCTGGAGCTATGGCGCCACAGGTAAGTCTCCCTCTCTCTCTCTCCAACGCTACGCTGGCTCCTACTAGCGCCCAGCGCTGAAGACTACTGCTAACGCTACTACTACTCCTGCAGCGCTCCTCCGGAGTGCTGCTGCTGAATCCTGAAGACTATCTCCTGCCTCCTGCACGTGAAGTGCCTGGGAAGTTCCTATAAACTGCCTCCTGACTGCCTGCAGCCTGTAGGGCGGCCAGTCTTATATAGTGCTGGCCTGTCCAGGAGGCTTCTCTTGCCAATGCCAAAACGTGTGTGTTGAAAACAGGCCGAAAATGGCCTGTGCTAAAACCCTGGTCTGGTGCCTAAGTTTCAGGGCAGGTCGATCTTATGAGGGCCTGAAAATGGCCCTCCGTTTCAGGCTGAAAAGACTCAGGGCCTAAGACTCAGGGCCTGTAGGCCCTTGTTTTCAGGCTTTCAGGCTGAAACGACACAGGGCCTGTAGGCCCTCGTTTTCAGGCTTTTAGGCCCTACACCTACAGGCCCTTAGTCTACCTGGTCGGGCCCTGCTGGGCCCGTGTGGTACTGAGTATGCCACACTCCCCCCTCCTTGAAAGACCGAGCTTACCTGCGAGGGCGAAGCTGTCTGTTGGAGGGAGGGACTGAAGTCTGGGTGGGAGGCTGTGCAGCTTTCGTGGCTAGCCGTTTTTTCTCATAATCAGCGTAGATCTCTGGTGCGGAGGCTTGCAAAGCTGGCCGGGAAATCCATCGCATGTCGTCGCGGTCGCACCACTTGAATGTGACTTTGTACTGCATTGGCTTGTTGCCGTGCTTGCGATGCGTGATGACGCGGTCAACTTCGTGATGACCATCCATGGTAGGAGGGTCCTGTGATCGTCTTCACGGGAAGTCGTCGCTCTTGGCTGGTGTATATGTGGTGGAAAACCGGGTGCGACGTGAGACGTGGCGGGATTTCAATCACAAAGGAGGGGCCATCGGGCTCATCGCCCGCGGCTGATGTGACGGGCCATGGTCCAAACCACTTTGGGAGTAGCTTGCGGGACACATCTTGTTCAAGCGCAAACTCCTCCGTGGAGACCCAAACAAGGTCGCCAGCATTGATAGGGCATGGCACGCGACGCCTGTTAGCTTGTTGTTGCACGCGGACTTGAGCCTTTTGCATGTTGGCGCGGGCTTTAGCCAGGAAGTCCCTATACTTCCGAACGGAGGCGGGAGAACAAGCGGCGTCAATGTCGGCAGTCCTTGGAAATGGGAGATCAGCGAAGATACGGCCTTTCGTGCCAACGTGGTGCAACTCGAATGGAGTCACGCCGATCGTCGGGTGCAACGAAGTGTTGTAGGCGAATTCGATGTCGGGGAGGCGGTCCACCTATTGACAATCCTTCTGATCCGTACGGATGAGTGTGTGAAGCATTACTTGAGCAGTTTGATGTGCCCGCTCCGTCTGCCCGTCCGTTTGCGGATGCGAGCCGAACTTGGTTTCATCTCGGTGCCGGTCTCTTTCATGAGGGAGGTAAAAAATGCCAACATAAAACGAGTGTCGCGGTCGCTGATGATGTCTTCCGGAATGCCATCGCCGCAAATCCAGCGGGTGTGTTAGAGGTGCGCAAGTTCAGGAGCCGTGGCGTAGTACTTGCAAGGAAGAAATTATGCGTACTTGCTCAATCGGTCAACGACAGTGAGAATGTCGTCGTGCCCGAAGCGGTCACAGGGGAACAGGCCAGTGACGTCCATAACACTGGAGAGGCCGGGTTCCCGCGGAATAGGCAACGGCGTAACTCGCCGTAGGGGTTGCGATTCGGGGGTTTGCTTTGTCGACAAACTTCACAAGAGTCGCAATACCGAGTGTCGTCGATAATGAGGTCGGGCCATCGGAATCGTTGCCGAAGTCTTGCGATCGTACGGTTGATTCCGAAGTGGCCGGCGAGTCTCGAGTCGTGGTACTCGCCGAGGAGGCAAGTTCGTAAGCAACGGTCGTGTGGGACACATTGTAAGTCCTTGCCTCGTGAGTGAAGAAGCAAGTAGCCATCGACGATGCGATAGTGGCTGGCCGGTGGGTGATCCGATGATAGTTGCTCATAGAGCGTGGCGTATTCCGGATCGGACTTGTATGCTCGCACAAAATGCTGATGAAGGGCGTCGTCAAAACTGGACGCGTGGTGAGTCAATGCACACAGATCGGATGTTCAAGAGAGAGCATCAACGGCTCGGTTGGAGAGGCCCGAAATGTGTTTCGGTGTGAAGTCGAAATGATTGATGAAGTACATCCATCGAGCAATCGTGTTGCTCACCGTGTCTTGCATCTTGTAGTAGGTCAACGGGTTATTATCCGTTGCCCAAGTGAACCGACGACGCCCGAGGAGGAAGTGTCGCCAACGCTTGAGTATAGGACGAATGCAAGCAACTCCTTCTTCCGCGCATTATCAACCGAGTTGATGGGAGGTACCTTTTGGCCGAAGTACTCAACCGGATGCCAGTCTACTCTGTCGTGTTGTTCCAAAACTGCACCCATGCCGTAGCCGGAAGCGTTTGTAGTCACTCTTGTAGGCAAGGTCAGATCGTAGATACTCAAGACGAGAGTGAGGAGCAATGTCGTCTTCAATTTGTGGAATGAACTGCGGACTTCGTCGGTGAACTGGAAGAGCACCTTTGGAGCCTGCAATCTTGACAAGGGCGCGGCAATCTGTGTATCTTCCGATGAAGCGTTGGTAGTACCCGGCCAATCCCATAAAAGATCAGACTTCCGTGGTAATGGTTGGTTCCGACCAATCTTGAATGACCTTGATCTTGTCCGCGAGCGGACGGATGCCTTGCGACATCACAAAGTGGCCCAAGTACTCAAGCTCTTGCTGCGCGAATTTGCATTTGGCTCGGTTGGCCTTGTACTTGGTCGTACGTAGCCTATCCAAAACAGCGCGTAGATGCACGATGTGCTCGTCCAAATTCCGGCTATATACCAAGACGTCATCGAGGTAGATGAGCACGAACCGGTCCAACATGTCACGAAACGCCGTTGTCATTGTTGCTTGGAAGGTAGTCGGGGCATTCGTGAGGCCGAATGGCATTACGACCCACTTGAAGTGTCGTACCGCATCTTGAACGCGATTTTGTATCGATCTCTTTGATGGATCTCGAGCTGGTGGTAACCGGCCTTAGGGTCCAACTTGGAGAAATGCTTGGCGCCGCCCAAGCATTCGAGAAGATCGGCGATGCGTGGAGCGGGCCGACATTCTTGATTGTTTGAGCATTAAGCGTACGATAGTCAATGCAGAAGCGCAACTCCTTGTTCTTCTTCCGAACGAAGAGAACGGGTGCACCGTACGGCGAGCAACTAGGGCGAATCCAGCCCTTGTCAATGAGGTCATCGAGTTGCATTCGAAGCACTTCGAGTTCCTCCTCGCTCATGCGGTAAATACATCCACGCTGAGGTACGGCCCCGTCTTCGAGGATGATGTGACGCGCCAGCTTCCGGACCTGCGCCATCTTCCA